TTCTTGAGCGATTCTCTTATATAAGAGAGCTATTAAATTATATCGCTCGTGACACTGTGCCTGCAGTTCACGACACAAACTTTATTTGGCGCTTATCTTGCCTCGTGTGGAAACAGAAGAACACACGTGAAAATACGCGTTTACACGAACAAGTGCGATGCCATTCGAAAGTCCATTCTGATGATAAAAGGATAGAGGTCGAGGACAGGAAGCCAAACGATATTTACAAACCGCAACGCAGCGAATTGCAATCGGCCGGTTACGAACGATAGAGCCGAGGGCTCCAAGTTACAAAACATTTATTGACTCGTTCGTTCGACGGCCTTTTGACGCGGATCGCGCGCGGCCGCATAACCGCGAGAGCGTGCGAATGCACTCGCGCGCGGGGATGAAACCCGAGCCACACATCCGTGGGAAGGCTCGAGGGGTGGCGGAGGGAAGGGGTAGGGAGCGGCGAGGATTTCCATCCCGCTTTGAGACCGGAAGCTGCGTAACAGGCACGAGCCCGGTGTTAACAATGCACTTCGCCCGGGTCCGGCTATATCCGGTCACGTGCCGGTGCGTGATTTCCTTTCATCAGCTTACAAAGCTTGCGGGTACGGGCGGGATAACAGGAGAGCCGACGAGCGTGGCCACGGAACTCGTCACGGCAGCTTCCCTGTGACGTCATGCACCGCATGACAAGTAACGTCCTCCGAGACAGGGGGAGGCGAGGGTAATCGCTTCTTTACTCACTTCCATTAATGGAAGTCAATGCATGCGCGTCCGGGTGTAGGACTGTAGACATTACAGGTCAGTGCAAGCGAAAAAGAGACTTGATCCGAGCCAGGTCGAGTCGTTTATATGATATCTGCATGCTTGTTTTATTTTTATGTTCAAATTTTAATTATTACCGTCGAGAGTTGTGTACGCTATGAAATTGTTGGCAAGTTTATGTTTTCCCCAGCATGCAATTTGTTAATATACAGTGTTAACATAGTCTGAAAATTAAAAATTAAATACTTTTTTAGATATTTACTTGGAAAGAATTGTACATTTAACTTCAATATAATGTAAAACGACTCGGTTTTACTTCTACTTTAATCAAATTAAGTTAATTTAAAATTTTCGCGCAATAGTGCAACAAAATGTGTCAGACCACCTGTTCCACCCTTTTTATTCATAAACGCGATATCACACGATAATGAGACAACAAATTTCTATTACCAAAACGTTAACCTGTAGAATCGATTGGTGTCATTGTGATTTTCCGGGAAATACGTTAAAACGAGTCACTATAACAAACTAACACGGACTGTAATTATTCATCGCGCATCGCGTACTCAGTTTTACGTTCAAACGATGTGCTCGACAATAAAATTATATTCGTCGCTTTCTACATGACCGTTTATGTATTTAAACTTATCACGAAACTGATTCGGTACTTCGAGATCCATTTTGTGATAGTTATAACATAACAGAGCGCGAATCGTTATCAACTTTTATTACTGTGTTATTCTAATGTCATCATAACATATTTCATAAAGTAGTCAGTGTAATACTTTTCAGATATTATTACACCTTTGTGAAGCCCCACATTTTCAAAATTAAAAAAGCACAGTTGCACCCCGAAAAGTCATAATGTTCTTTATTGATTATAGAAAGAGTTCCATCGATTAAAGCAGTAAAATTTTTTTTTTAAACGGGGCCTACTTTACAATTTTACAACTTTGAAGGGCTGTAACTTGTTTGCTTTTCACTTTAGCGTTTTGATTATTAAGAACAATCGTTAGAACCCTTGGAGGCGGGGGAGCTATCAAAACTTTAAAGAAATCGTCACAATTCCAAAAACATATTTTTTAATTTTTAAGATTATATAGATAAAAAAATTTTAGAAATTTGACAATTTCTTAAGAGTTCTAACGATTGTTCTTAATGATCGAACCACTAAAATCAAAGACAAGAAAGTTACAGCTCTTTAAAGTTGCAGAAATATAAAGTTAGCCTCCTCGTTTTTTTCACAAATTTTTCTTCACGCATGCGCAAAAGAAACACTGAATTTAATACTTGTAAGGTAGTAAGAAGGGAGCAATTAACATTCAGTTTAACAATGTTAAGTTTTTATTCTTCTTCTTTTACACTGAAACGTTAATTTTTACAATTTTGGTTCGCCATTTTTAATTTTTTCATTTGAAGAGCTACAGTTTTGAATCTTCGTAGAATGACCCATAAGGATCTAACTAAGGTCGGCGGCATTGGGCCGCACAGTCAATCGGAACCGTGATCAATATCATTGTAGTTAATCGGGACCACACGGAAAAAACAATGTAGCTGCTGTAGCTAAAACTTAGCAAAATAGGGACAGCTAATATTTTTAGTTGTGATAGCTCAATATTTTGCTACGACAGCAAACCGTTTGCTGTCGCACCTAATACAATAGGCACAGTAGCAAAATATTGAGCTATCACAACTAAAATATTAGCTGTCCCTATTTTGCTAAGTTTTAGCTACAGCAGCTACATTGTTTTTTCCGTGCATGGTCACAAGGGAGCGTGGTCATTCGGGTTCGTGGCTATTCAAGAACGTGATCATTCGGGACCGTAGTTATTTGGGACCGTGGTCATTTGGGAGTTTTGGGACCGTGGTCAGTATTAACGTGGTGAAACGAGGCGCTCCCTATGCCTCATGTGGTCTTTTGTCGCGCTAGAGGAACCACAAAAATTACAACAGTACACTGACCTCACCACTGCTCTGCCAACAATGATGACAATGACGGCGTTTTTTAATTGAAAATTTCACGTTTCGTACTTTGCATTGCAATATATACCTCCACTTGTAGTACACACAGGGAAAAAATAAAAAATGTTTTCTTATAAAAGGCGAACCCGAACAATTAATTAAGGATGTATGTTACTTAAGTTAAAATAGAGGGAAAAAGCTGAAATTTACAGAAGTTGTGCATTTATATACCATGAAAACCTGTGATAAATTTTGGATCAATTGACTGATTCGTTTTCAAGTTATTAATTTTTTAAAATTTTATGTGCGTTCCAGACAACACGCTGTCCAAAATATAAATACAGGGTGCTACGCAAGACTTTGACGTCCGGTCATGGGAAGGTAGAGGGGACTAAGACAAACAGAAAAGTATTGTACTATTTTGCGCTTGGACGAATAGTTATCGAGATACGAAATTTTAAAAATCGCCGTATTAGCCCAACCTACTGGCGAATGTAAGCGCGCGGTGAGAAGCGTCGGCCTAGCGGCCCCGCTCGAGGCGGTGTTCGGCGAGGAATAGAATGGCGGTGCGGGGT